GGGGGCAGCAGTGGGAGGGCTTTTAGTATCCTGGCCCCACTGTTGGACCTCCTGATGGCACCTGGTATTTCTGGCCACTGTGTGACACAGAGTGTTGGACGATGGGCCACTGGCCTGATCCAACACTGGCTTCTCTTATGTTCTTATAGGGACTCTCGGTCTGGGGCAAGGGATGCTCTGTATTCTTGGTGCTTGGGGGGGGGGTCAATAGTGGGAGGCCTCCCGGTGTCCCAGCCCCACTGCTGGACCTCCTGATGGCCCCCGGTTTTTCTGGCCACTGTGTGACACAGAGTGTTGGACTGGACTGGATGGGCCACTAGCCTGACCCAACACTGGTTTCTCTTATGTTCTTAAGTTAATTCATGCCACAGTATTCCCCATTACTAAGTGTGGGTATGAGAGCTGGACAATGAAGAAGGCTGACAGGCAGAAAATGGATACCCATGAAATGTGGTGCTGGAGGAGAGTTTTTTCGGACAACTTGGACCACCCAAAAGCCAAATCAGGGGGTTCGAGATCAAATCAAGCCTGAACTCCCCCTAGAAGCCAAAACGACTAAACTGAGGCTGTTGTACTTTGGTTGCATCACGAGAAGACAAGAGTTGCTGGGAAAGACAATCCTGCTTGGAAAAGCTGAAGGCAGCAAGAAAAGAGAAAGACCCAACGTGGGATGGAGGGACTCCATCCAGGAAGCCACAAAGTCCCCCAGTTTGCAAGACCTGAGCCAGGGTGTTAATGATCAGACCCTTTGGAGGCCTTTAATGCATAGGGCTGCCATGTCAGAAATGACCTGAGGGCACTAAACACACACACACACACACCCCTACACACAAACAGGTCAAAGAGAGGGCTTTCTAAAAGCCAACAGCAGTCCTTTTCCAGATAAACTCTGGCAGACCAGCCCAGGCAGCCTGGAAAAACCTGTTCTCTGCATTTCATGTTTGCGTGTGTGTGTGTGTGTATATAAGTCAGGATCAGATTCTTCAGCTTGCTAATTCATCACCCTATTAACGAAACACGCTCCGTATGCCGTCACCAGTAGGCAACTCCAATATCCTGTGGGGAGAAGCTGAAAAGCTCTGCTGCAGATAACCCAACAGGCAACAGCCGATTACTAATTAAAGCAGAAACAGGGCCAAGCGGTACTGCCGGCCTTCGGTCTGTGTTTGCTCTGGGTGATGCCAAGGATAGGAACCCCCCTCCCAAGCCAGAAAATGGCCCAAACCAGCTCAGCTGCTTCCAATCCCACCCCCACCCTTTTCGTGTTTTCTGAGGAGATGGTGAACTGCTTTTTCCCTTTGCTTTCCTTGCCTCTTAAAATACCACTAACAGGCTTGACCCTTAACTCTCTTGTTTTTTAATGCACTGACGTCAAACTTTTAGAAAGCAGGGGACATATTTTTCAGCAACTGCCCACACACACGCACACACACACAGTTCAGGGAGGGGGAAGTACCCACCTCCTGTAAGTCAACATTCGGAGCACCTGCCCGCCTAGGTGTGGCCCTGCCTTGCTGCACACACCCCCTCCCGGAGAGGCAGGAAGTGCCGGGCCCAAGGCGTAGGGTGGTTGGATGGGATCCGCTGCTTTGCAGGCCCAGGGGAGGCACCCAAACGGGACGGCTGCAGGGCCGGGCAACTCCTTCAGCCCAGCCACCTTTGAGTGCCAGCTCTCCCCCTCTCCAGCAGAGCCCTCGAAAGCGGGCAGGGAGCCACACGGGGCCCGTAGCCCACTCTGCTGTTTCCGGGGATCGTCAGCCGCTTGCTGACGCCGCGGTCCGGCAGGCCACAGCTACTGACAAACTATTATGCAGCCTGAAGACCAGGTGAAGATTTCCCAGGTGCTGGAGGCGCCCCCCCCACCATCATTTGACCCCCCCCCCAAAGCATCAAGCATTTCCCCAGACCAAACGGCATGCCCCTGGAGACCAGCAAGGCTCCCTTCTGCTAGCTGTGGGCAAAGGTCTCTGCCTTGTTCCTGGGCTCCACCCCGGCTTCTTCCTACAGATGTGAAGGCCTGGAAAAATTCGGGGGGAAACCGTTTTTCCCGTTCCCCCCCCCCCCGAAACCTTTTTTGTTTTTTTCCGAAAAAATGGAAAAATTGAAAAAAAGAAAAGGGAAAAAATTGATTATAAAACGTTTTATTTTAACATGATGAATAAAATATTTTAAGACAAGATGTTCAAATATTTTCCAAATCATTTCTAAAAAATATGTATGGTATCAGATTGATCTAATTTCTGTGCATTGAGGACAAGCAAGTCCTAGGTTACCAACTGAGCTCTCCAATGCAAGAACAAGATGCATTCCTTCCTTTGGGAGGTGCTGTTGTCACAAGAAAAGAAAAAGGTTTCAGTTTTGTTTTTGCATGTGGGTGGGTATTCTGTTTGTAATAATTGTTTGGATACACCATATTTTTAATATGCTAGCTGTGGTAATTTCATGCCAAGTAAAAATGTCCATAGTCATATTTTATGTTCCTAAAGTAACAGAATGACTTTCAATCTGGAAAAGAAAAAAGAAGTGCTAATGTAGCATTTTTTTCAATTTTTCCAAAAATCTCTATTTCCCGTGGAAAAAAACGGGGTTTTTTGCGAGCTTCAAAATTTCCGGAAATTTTACACCTCTACTTCTTTCATCTCTGCTCCCAGCGCCCCTTTCCCTCCAAGCAGAGGCCTGAGTTCCTCCAACAGCCTGCCTGGCCCGGCTCTGCAGGCTCATCTCGAGTCGCTCTGCGGCCTCCATCCACAAGGTCCGTTTTTATCACCATCGATTTGATGGCCTCCCTCCTTCCTGGAAGCGCCACGCATGGAATCATGAGCCACGTGTTCAAAAGACAGGCCACATGACTCAGGCGAGCCTCGCCAGGTAGCAGCTGGGCACCCCACCGAGGGAGGTTTCCCCCTCCCCGATTACTGCTCCAGCCAACTGCTCGCACAAGCTGGACATGACTCAAAAGGAATCCCAGGGGGAAATGTTGGATCCGGCAAAAAAGAAAGGGAGTGAGAGAGGCTTTTGACTCCAGGAGGTTCAGCGGACTGGGACAGCCCTCCTTCACCAGTCCCAAAGGCCACATCCTGACCAGTGCTCCCTCTAAGCTGAGTCAGTGTGAGCTAGCTCACAGTTTTTTAGCCTCCGGCTCACACATTTTTGCCTTAGCTCAGGAAAAACGGCCCCAGAGCCCGCTAATTTATGCAGTAGCCAAATCACTTGCTCACAACTTCAATGCCAATAGCTCACAAAGTAGAAATTTTGCTCACAAGACTCCACAGCTTAGAGGGAGCATTGATCCTGACCCACAGGGTCCTGGGAGTTGCTCCTGCCCAGCCAGCTGTGTCCACAGCAGGTGCCTGGCTGAGCAGATCTCTTGGCCTCCTTCTTTCCTGGGGGGGGGGATTCATACTTTTGGAGGCTGGGAAAGGAACTGTCCAACAAGAGAGATGCAGCTCGAGTGAGGCCACCCCCCAGACTCCGTGCAGCAAGAAAAAGCCGTGATCCCTTGGAAACCGCATGCCTCCCCACCCACTGCCGTGATGCTGGGATGAGGCAGCTGCTACGCGTTTTAGCTCCCTTCCTCTCCTCCACACCCACCACGCTCCTAACCATTCCCATCTCTGAAAGGATGGTGCTGGGCTCAGGAGGAGGCTGCGGTTTCCTTGGAAACAAGATGATGCTATCAACGACGCCGGAGGATGAGTTCTCACTGCTGGGCCAGGAGGGGAAGAGATGGCTTCTGACCGGAGCACGGGTCTCTTCCTGAATGGTGTGTGACTCAGAGCAGGGAGAGAACGCCGGGTTCTCTCTAGCAGGCACTCCAGAGGGGCCAGCAGTGAGCCAAAGCCCCCCACCCCCGAAATAGAAAGAAAACGTCAAAAAAAAAAAACCCACCCCATTTCATAAAACACCACAGCACAGAGTCTATGAAATGGCCCGTCTGTTTCCAAAACAGGGTGGCTGGGAGCTTCAGATCACGGCACCTCTCACCACCAGCTCCTCTTCCTCATCTTAGGTAAGGCCAGGTGGATTTTTTGGACAGCCAGGAGTTATCACCGGGGCCTTACATCGCCACCAAACTCCAGAGCAGCCACATCTTCTACCGCTTGCTACCAGCCTCCAGACAGTGGCAGAGAAAGTCATAGAATCATAGAATGTTGGAGCTGGAAGGGACCTTGCAGGTCATCTAGTCCAGCCCCCTGCCCTCTGTGGGAGCAGAGCCGAAAGATAGCCCTGCAACATACCCGAAGGATGGTCATCCAGCCTCCGCTTGAAAATTTCCAGCAAAGGAGCATCCACCAACTCCCGAGGCAGTCTGTTCCACTGCTCAACCACTCTTACAGTTAGCCAGTATCAACTCCCTTGTAATTTCCACCCATTAGATCTAGTCTTGCAATCCAGAGCAAGAGAGAATAGATCTGCTCCATCTTCTACATGACAGCCCTTCAAATATTTGAAGACTGCAATCATGCCCCCTCTAAGCCTTCTCTTTCCCAGGCTAAACAGACCCAACTCTTTCAGCCTTTCCTCGTAAGACTTGGATTCCAACCCTCTCACCATCCTGGTTGCCCTCTTCTGGACACGCTCGAGCTTGTCAACATCCTTCCTAAAAGGTGGTGCCCAAAACAGGACACCATGTTTCCCACAGCAAGCCCGAAGAGCCTCAACTTCCCTCCCAGGAAATTGCAGGAGCTGTAGCTGGCGTGTGCTTGGGACCTCCAACAGACAATGCTCACACTTCCCAGGATTCTGCAGGGGAGGGAATTGTGGCCTTTGCAGTGGCACAAAGCCCATGCATCCTGAGGATCGTTAACACCTGTATAAAGCTTGTCTTTTTTTTAAAAAAAAATGCAATGATTCACGTCGGGTCCACGGGCAATTGTACACTAAATACACCACGCAACAGATAATAAGGTCTGTGAATCTAATTTTAACAATGTGTGGGAGAGGCAAGAAGCGGTCCGATCCTCCTCACCCGTGCCAGCATCATGCCACCTGATCTATACGCCATTCAGTGGAGGAGTGCCCAGTTCCTCTATCAGCAAGCGCAGACCCTCCTCCACGCCCAGCGGTCGACAGTCCCAAGAATAGGCCATGGCGTGCTCCAGGCAGGCCCGTGTCCATTACTGAGGCATAAAGATGTTTCAAGCCAGCTGCTGGCAGATCAGACAATTAAAAGACATTTACAGCCCACCGCAGACGGAGCCCCACCTCCCTGGCAATTAACGGCGGACGCACCACGGCTGCGGATCCTGCCAGCGGGGCTTGCGAGAGCGTCCTCTTGAGTGTTAAGTGACAGCCTCCCTTCCAAAATCCGAAGGCAGTTGCCCAGGCAACCCAAAGAGCTTCTTCCTGTTCTGCCATCACAACAAATTTGGAACTTCTCAAAATGGTTGCCCTGACATTCTCCCCACCAACCGAGTCAGTTCGGCAAAAGTGCCGGGGAAACGGCCCTCGGGGACAGGCTGCCTCTAGCAGAGGGGCAGCTCGAACCCCCCAGAACCCAAAAGTGGGACCCCACTGCGGATCTTCCCAGAGAGAGAAAGAGGCCAATTCACAGGAGCCTTGGTGGCACGGAGCGTGCCTTCGCTTTGGCCGACCCCTTCAGTCCCTATGTGAAGTCATCGACGGGGCTCCTCGTGTCAGGTGCCCGCTGCCTCGGGGGACCAGCTGGAGGGAGCAGAGCAGACTGGCAAAGCCTGACTTCCCTGGCTCTAATGCTGGGTGGCAAAACCAGGCTTGCTGGACATTCCCCCCCCCCTTCCCCACCACCACCACCACCACCACCACCTTCTGCTCCTTGTGTGGCCACCGGCAGCCAAGAAGAGGCCACACACACACACACACACCCAGTCTCTCCTCATCCAGAGGCCCCGAAAGGGCACTGAACATACAGGCATCGTTCAGACCTCACGGATGACACCCCGGGGAGGCGCCTGCCCGCCAGAACCGCCTCCTGCTTGCCGCAGCAAAGCGGCCAAGGGGCCCACGTGCCGGCCCAGGGTGGCCTTTGGGGCAAGGCAACAGCTGATTCATGCCCCACAGTCCCCTTGGAGACGCAGCCACCCAGGTGCTCACGGCCATGCTCCGAAAGGGCACACATCCCAGAATACGCAGCTAGTCTGGAAGGTGCTACGGAATCTTTTCACGTCCTCGTCCCCAAAGAGGGAGGGGAGCCTGAACGAAACTCATCCGTGGCCTTTACATAACCGTCCTCAGATGCCGTGCGAAATAAAAGCCCAACGATGCAGCAAGCCCTTCCCTTCCGGACAGGGGAGTTGCGACTGGGAGGGGGAGACGGAGAGAGAAGCCACAAGACCCCCTCCTGCCCAAGCCCCTTGCTCTGCCCCACCCCCTCGCATCACCGACAGGCAGTGGGTCACTGGTTTCACATGGAGGCTTCCCAGAAGGACAGACCCAAACACCTCATCTTCTTCACAGGACCTGAGTGATGTGCAGGGATGGTCTCTTGGGGGGGGGTGGCACGGAGGCAGCACAGCCAGCCACCAACTCCCCCCCTAGGGCCACCTAGATGGAGCTGCCGGAAGCAGACACCCCTTTGAGCCCCTCTCAAGGGTCCCAGGGGCTTGCTGACACTGAGTGGGGAACTGAGTGGACACAACCTGATGCTGACTTGGATGAGCCTTCAAACCTTGCTTCATAAGAACCTCAGAAGAGCCCTGCTGGGTCAGACCACTGAGGGTCAACCCAGTCCAGCCTCCCGTCTCACACAGGGGCCAGCCAGTCCCTCTGGAGGGCCAGCAACAGGGCAGAGAGGCCAAGGCCTTCCCCTGAAAAGAACCTCAGAAGAGCCCTGCTGGGTCAGACCAGGGAGGGTCCCTCTAGTCCAGCCTCCCGTCTCACTCAGGGGCCAGCCAGTCCCTCTGGAGGGCCAACAACAGGGCAGGGAGGCCGAGGCCTTCCCCTGATAAGGACACCAGAAGAGCCCTGCGGGGTCAGACCAGGGAGGGTCCATCCAGTCCAGCCTCCCGTCTCACACGGGGGCCAGCCAGTTCCTCCGGAGGGCCAGCAACAGGGCAGGGAGGCCGAGGCCTTCCCCTGAGAAGAACATCAGAGGAGCCCTGCTGGGTCAGACCAGGGAGGGTCCCTCTAGTCCAGCCTCCCGTCTCACACGGGGGCCAGCCAGTTCCTCCGGAGGGCCAGCAACAGGGCAGGGAGGCCGAGGCCTTCCCCTGAGAAGAACATCAGAGGAGCCCTGCTGGGTCAGACCAGGGAGGGTCCCTCTAGTCCAGCCTTCCGTCTCACACAGGGGCCAGCCAGTCCCTTTGGAGGGCCAACAATGGGGTGTAGAGGCTGAAGCCCTTCCCTGATGTTGCCTCCTGTGGCTTCTGGTCCTGAATGCGAATTTATGACAGAGGCAGGTGCTGAACAGCCCAGACCCTGGCATTGGTTTTGACCCTTCCTCAGGGCAGGCACCTCGGACGTCCAGCCAGAGACCTCAGTCATCCGATAACACAGGCAGCATAACAAATGAGGGCAGGATGAAAGCCACGTCCTCTGATGGGAGGAAGGCGCTCTGCACATACACAGAGGCACACTCCTTCCTTCATCCTCCACTTGTTCCAGAGCTGAGCCAGAGTTTAATAAGAGTTTGGACACAGCCCCTCTGATCTGGTCTGAATACAGACCAGCCCAGTTCTGGAGTACAGACGGTCCCGACAAAGCCCCTGAGCAGGTGGAGAGTGCAATTCCGGTCACTAACAGCCATCCAGGAGCAGTGAGGCCAGTGGTGGCAGAGCAGACGGGGTCATCAAGCCCACCTCCCCCGCCCCCCAACATTTCCTCTGAGCTTGTCCCCCAGCCACCATGACCGCCCCCCCCCGGCAGCCCTTACTTCCTATTACATCTTCAAAAATGAAATGAAATGAAATGAAGAAGAAGAGGAGGAGGAGGAGGAGGAGGAGGAGGAGGAGGAGATTGGATTTATATCACACCCTTCACTACCCAAAGGAGTCTCAGAATGGCTTACAATCTCTTTTCCCTTCTCCTCCCCACAACAGACACCCTGTGAGGTAGGTGGGGCACAGAGAGCTCTGACAGAAACAGCTCTTTTTCAAGAACAGCTGTGCCAGAACACTGGCTTGCCCAAGGTCATCCAGCAGGTGCAAGTGGAGAAGTGGGGAATCAAACCCGGTCCTCCCAGATTAGAGTCCGCACACTTAACCACTATACCAAACTGGCTCTATTTACAGGATCCACAAGTCTGGTTTGCTTCCCAGTCTGCCAGGCATCTTTCTCCAGCACTTTACCAAGCTGAGAAGCCAAAGCTAGAGGGAAGGGGAAGGCAAAGAAGAGGGAGGGGTTGACCAAGCTCAGCCAGCCCCCCTCCCCAGTCAGTCTAGCTTACTGCTGCTGACTCCAGCGGGCCATAACCCCCTCCTCCTGGGACCACCCGGCTTGCAGTGCTTGGGGGGCTCTGCTCAAGCTCTTTGCCCTCCTTCCCCACCCTGGGTTGCAGCCTCCAGGCAGGAGAGGGAGCTCCCCCCCACCTCATGCTCTGTCCCAGGCATCCCCCGGAGCCAGTCGCGGCTTCCCAGGCGGAGACGGGTTGCCAACGGGTGGGCGGGAGGTTCCGGGAAATCCGGAGGCCGGGGAGGGGAGGGGGCGTGACGCCAGCCAGTCCAGCCCTCCGAGGCGATCGCGGTAGTCTGGGGGTCACCGCTGCCAGGCCCTCCGGGAGGGAGGTCGCAGGCCCGGGAACGGGGAGGGGTCGTCGGCTCCCCAACGCCGGGAGCGTCTCCCCCCTCCCAATTTGTGGCGGGACCACCCCACACTGTCCCTCCCGTGCGGTCGCGCAGAGCCGCGGGGGGAAGGAGCCTCTCCCCCGGAACGCCAGCAGGCGCAGAGGCCGCGGGGCACCCACTGCTAGAGGGACCCACCCGGAGACGGTGGCCTCGCCCCCTTGGGCCTCTCCTGTGCCAGGCGGGGGCTGTGGGTGCCAGCCAGCCTCCAGGTGGGACCAAGGCTCCCTCTAAGCTATGGAGTCTTGGGAGCAAAAATTCCACACTGTGAGCGGCTGGCAGGAAAGTCGTGAGCGAGAGCTGCTGCATCCATGAGTTTGCTCTTCTGGAGTTAAGACAAAAATGTGTGAGCCGGAGGCTAAAAAAACTGTGCGCTAGCTCACGCTCACTCAGCTTAGAGGGGACACTGGGTGGGACCCCCAGAAGTACAGCTCATCCCCAGGTCCCTGTTGTCCCCAGGACCCACCCCGCCATCTCCAGGAATCCCCCCACCTGGACCTGGCAAGTGGCAACCACAGGCCTCCCATGCCGAGGGCTCTTGAGCTGAGAAAACAGTCGAGGAAGGGGAGACATGACAGAGGTCTCTCAAAGGGCACCATCATACTCGACACCCCCCACTGAAGCTGACGGGTGGGAGATGCAGGACAGATACAGGGAAGGAAGTCGAAACGGTGGAACTCACTGCCACAGGATGTGGTCAAGTCTGCCAACTTGGAAGGCTTTAAAAGGGGAGTGGGCAGAGGAGAACGGGGCTCTCTATCAGGGGCTCCTAGCCCCGAGGGAGATCCACTCCTTGCAGGACCAGAGGCTGGGGGAGGCTGTTGGAGGCTTCCTGCTTGGGGGCTTCCGGGAGGCAGCTGGTTGGCCACTGGGCTGGATGGGCCTCGAGTCAGATCCAGCTGGGCTCCTCTTGGGTTCTCATTGCACAGCTGTGGCTCCAGGGCAGCTGACTGGCCACTGCATGAAATGCCATGCTGGGCTCAGTGGCCTGCCTGTCTGATCCAGCAGGGCACCTCCTGGCCATAGTGATGCCGGGTGATGAGTCAGGCACACGCCCCAAACACTCATCCCCTGTCACACACACCCCCGGCCAATCTCTTCCCTCTCTCGGCCTTTCGGAGCGTCATTTCCATGGAAGGCAAATATTGTTTACAGCCAAACTGGTGCAGAGTCAGAATCCAAAACCAAACTACAATCCACATGATACCTTTTATGAGGACAAACAGCCTGCCAGCTTTCAGGTTCTCCAGAACTCTCCCTCAGGCTCAGTATTACAAAATTCTTCCGTCCTCCGGAGTTTGCTCAATTTCATGTTCGAGGCCTCGATAACACTG